TCCTGCAACTATTTTTTTCATCAATGCATGCTTGGATAAACCTTTACGTGTCTTGGACGTTGGTTTAATCTAGTATATTGTTGTGAGGAAATTCGGTCGAGTCTAAAATAGGAGACTTGGCTTTATTAGTTGTACATTCTCTCTTTCTCTTCGAATTTTTTAGTATAAAACTTTAACTGTCTTTAACAATTGAACTTCANTTTCCTATTATAGTTGGTTTAATGGAAAATGGTAGGTATATGGAACTATGTATTTCACTTGCCTATGGTTATGGAGTAGGTGTAAAAATGATTTAAACAATTTTTAGTTTGAAATTGATATGTGAAGTTCCATGTGAAAATTCTTGGAGCTTGGTATTGTGTGGGCATACTATGTGTTATATTGTGCATTGAGAAAGAAATGAGTTATTTACATAGGTTATGTGAAACATGTTTGGTGCCTTAAAGGTATTTTGTTAAATGCCTATAAGAGAATTAAGCTTGTATGACATAATTTATGTATGACATGTTTGAGAAAAAGGTAATTGATTTATGTTGTTAATATATTAACATCATAATAAATTGTGGTAATTATTTGTATTAGATATAAATTATCATAACATATGTTGAAATATGTGGTTTAATTGATCCATATGACATTCATTACATATGAGACTTGACATTGTTTTGCATTGGTTTATTTCATTGCATTTGCACGGAGATATCGCATTAGGTGGGTGTGTGTACATGGTGTGATCAAACACCATACTTGGTGATTGATGGGTGGGCTCAAGAAAGTTGGGTTGAAAATCTAACTGAGTCGCATGGTTGCATGAATATGGGGTCGGGATTAGCAAGAAGGGTTAGAAAATCCCTCGGGTTAGAGACCCGGTGACTTGGATACGCACTCCAGTGGTATAAGAGTCCATAAAGTGTGTCGGTGTACGCAGAACCGTTGGTGGAAGTCCATCAATTCCGTGTCAGTTGGGTGTCGTTGGTGTAAGTCCATAATACTCACTCCACGAAAGACCCGGAGATTTTAAAATGATCACTGGATGAAATTCATAAATGACAGATTTTCTACACATTGGCATTTGCATTGTGTTACGGGAGTCAACGAGGGCTCGGGTTAAAGTGCGTGAGTGAGTATCATCTCATATCATGACATGACATGGTAGAATTTTCATCTAGAATTATATGTTCTTGTATGTAATGGATTGTGATTGTTAAATATTACATGTGAACATTGCATATGAACTTAAGTCGGGGAGTAGCCTCTTTAGGAAATACTTTACTAGGCATAGTTCCCCCTATACAGGAACACATTTTAGGTGCGAGATATACCTCAGTGGATGGCTCGCATTCGGGGTCTCAAAGATGAAGAAAAGTCGGATTGTGGCTTTTGAACCAAGTTTTTGTAAAACTATTGTAAAATTATGTTTTTGGACATGTAATTATATAGAATTACTTGCAATGAAACTTGTATATATAGAGTTGTATTGTCAAAAACTATGTTTTTGTAAAATATTCGCTAAGTTAGTTTTTGGACTATTTTAATGTAATCTTGCATGCTATTATATGTTTACTTATAAAAGGACCCGGTGTGGTCAATGTTTACTTATAAATGGATCCGGTGTGGTCAATATTGTATTTTGGACCTCGGATAGGTCATGTGATTGTATGATGCACAAGTTGTGTTTTGGATAGAGCTTCTCGTATAAAAGAGATTGCCCAAATTTTATTAAATTAAGGACCTGATTTTGGGGTGTCAAATAAGAAGAAAAGGTAGTGATGCATCACTATTCATATTATGCTAGCCTCAATGCCAAGGAAAAGGAAGACCATAAGTTTTTACAAGGGGAGAGTGTTTATAACTTTATGTGTAGTTTCATATTGATAAAATCCAGTACTTTTTTCCAAGTTAAAAAGTGATTGATGAAAGATTTGCAAGCTGGGAAAAAAATAACAAAGTATATACATTTTCAGTCCAACATGTATGTTTGACTGACTCAGAGAAAACTCCC